TGATAGATTACTTTCTACTTAAAGATCCGGCGGGGGCGGGGCCACGTGACCGCGCGTGACGTCAGGGCGGCCGCGAAGCGGCCGAACTCAAGTTGGTGCGGGGTTGTCAACAAAGGGGCGCGGGCGGCGTCGGCCGAGCGCGTCCTCGGACCCTGCGCCCCCTGCGTCGGACGCCCGCTCTCCGCCCCGACGCGGGCGGGCCGAGGATGGCGAGGAGCACTCGGGTTCGGGGCAAACTCGAAGGCCTCGTGTTTACCGTTTCGCGTCCAAGGGCGCGGGCGGTGCGGGCCCCTCGCCTCGGCCACCGGGCCCCGCCGCGTCTCCGCGGTTCCCAGACGGCTGCGGTTCCCGCGTGGCCGCCGCAGCATCAGCTGGGACCCGCAGGTCAGAAAATAGCTATCGATTAATCTATTAGAACAGTTGCCGCGAGAGATAAAAGCGACGTGAAAGAGCCGGGAGCCTATAAATAAGGCAGCGGTGGCTGCAGCCTGGAGTTGCTGAGCGACTTAGCATATGAAAAAGTCGGAAATGGGCCGGAGCGGCCCGGCAGGGTGAGTCGCGCTCCGTGGGAGAGGCCCGAACACTGGCGGGGGCGGCGGGCGGCGGAGCGGCGGCCGTGCGGAGCCGGGGTCCCCTGGCTGCTCCCCGGCGCGGCTCCTGTCAGCGCAGGGGACCCCGAGACCCAACTCTGAGGCCGGGCACGTGCGTCCGGAAAGGCGGCGGGGACGTGGCCGGAGCCTCGGGCGTGGCAGCGACGGTAAGAGAGACCCGGGGTCCCAGAGGGGCGCGGCGAGGGGGCCTTGGGGACCTCGCCCCACCTCGAGGAAGCTCCCGCTCGTGGCGGCCAGCGCTCCGCGGGCGGTGTGGGCCTGGGAGGCTGGCCAGGGGCCGAGGCCCAGGGAAGGGGTTCATAGGATATCAGGGAGGCGCTGGGAAACGGCTGAATTAGAGTGCACAGCGCTGCTTCTGATTCTCAGCCTGTCCCCACCGGGCACCCCGAATAAGAATTCGAGGTCCTGCCGCCTGCTTCGTGACCCGAAGATTGGCCCTTTCTCCAGTTCCCCCGAGCAGCACCCGCCCTTGGTGTCCCTCCCGCCGGTGTCCGGTTGGGGCGGGGACAGGGTGGGCGCAGTGACCACGTCTTGAGACTGTCCCCGACCCTCCACGCTTTTTCTGTTTGCAAACGGTATCGGGGTCACCCCGGCCCCAAACTCGTGTCTGAGTTGATCTCCACAGCTGCCTCTTGTAGGCCCGCCGGCTCCAACCCGTCTTGACCGCCTCCCGAGAAACCCACGCGAGCTCCGAGCCGGCCGCCCGCCGACCCGGCTGAGGGGTCCCGGTTGCCTGAACCGCCAGCCCCACGGAAGGTCGGAAGGAAAAGGAAAGACAGCCGAAATTAGCACATCTGGAAACTTTGTTTAGTTTGGGGTGACCACCCGCAGCAGGCCCGGCCCGCTTAGCAGGATCCGCGTGTGTGCGTGCACGCGTGTGGGTGCGTGTGCGGGTGGCGGCCACGCCGGTCGCTTTGAAACCCTTCCGGCCGAGCTCGCCTGGGTCCCTGGGTCTGCGCCCTGTTCCGAGCCTCCCCGGAGCGGGGTGGCGCCCAGCGCCCAGCTGCCGGTTCCATTTGTTGAGCTTTTCTCCTTCGACACAATAAAAGTCAAATTAATTGATTCATACCATTAATTACGTTTCCTAGCGTGAAAAGCGACGCTTCCCCTCGGTGAGGGAGCTATTGTGCCGACCTCGTGTTCAATCAGTGTCACCATCTGATGCCGGGTCGCCCCGGCAGAGACTTTTCGCCCCGTTTAGCTGAACGAGGGGCTGCGCAGACCCGGGCTTCGGCCCGAGGACCGTGCCGGGTTCTCGCGGCCCACTCGCCTCCCGGGGGGGGCGGAAGGGCCCGACTGAAAGCCGCCGGCTTCCAGGCTCCGCGAGCCCCGCCGGGCGGGAAATCGGAGGCTGCCGCTGAAAGCCAAGTCGTCCACCACCGCCGTGGAGGAGAGGAAAAGATGCGCAGCGGGGGAAGCGAAGGAGGGAACTGAGATGAGGGTGGGCGGGGGGTGGGCCCGGGGAGGCTGGGCGCGTTCAAAGCGGCGTCGCCAGCGCTCAGGGCGCAGAAAGACGCCCGCGGTCACCTGCGTGGCCCTGGCTGAGGCTTGAGCCGCCTCCAGGCTCGCCGGGGCCCAGCAGCAGGAGGCCTGGAGGGTGGAGTCGGTTTGCGAGGTAGGAGGAGGCCAGGCCTTCAGGGGAGGGGAGCCTGGGTGCGCGCGCCTGGGGTGGGGCGGGTGCTGGACGCTGACGGCAGCTCGGGATCCTAGGAGCCCAGTACCGGGCACGGGCCGTCCGGGCGCGCACTCTTCTCCCTGAAAGCCAGGCCGGGCGACACCGGGCCACCCGCCCTGTGCGGAGAACCCGCGTCCCGAGATTTCTCACGACGCGGGAAGGCGGCGGGGGTGGAGCCAGCGGAGGAGCCGCCTCCCCGCAGCCGCCCGTCCAGGACCTCCGCCTCGGTCCGCGGCTGCCACCTGGGAGCGGGCAGGGCGCGCGCCCGGGCCCTGGCGCACCCGGCGACCCCTGCCCTGTGGGAGGGGTTTCCACTCCGCAGCCTCGGCTCCCCTCCCGTCCCTTCCGGGCGGGGAAGGGCCAACTCCTCGTCCCCATCTGGGTTTGCGTCTTCGACTTCGTTTGTTCCCGTGTGCGCCACGCAGAGCCCGCACCGAGGCCCCGGCGATGGCGGGAACGGGGGGGGGGGTCGGTTCCGAATTTATTTGTATTGGAAATGTATAAACATCCATTCTGTAAAAGGCAACACGTTTAATTAACGGTGGGAGAGCAGTTAGGGGCAGAAAGCTAGTAAAATTGTGATAAATTTATGGCATTGTTAGCGTGCTTTTAATTATGGCTATTACGTTAATTATTTCACATTAGCACGGAGTTAGCAGCAGCACGTCAGATTCAATCAAAACGAGCCTTTCTCTCGAAAACTGTTCTTTCCATCGCGAGGAGAAAGGTCGGGCAGAGCCAGCCTGGACGCGACTGCGCGCCGGGCCGGGTCCGCACTGCGCGGCCCGAGGGAGCCCTGTCAGGCTCCAGCGTCTCGGGCCGCAGGCGACGCTCGGGCCGCGTCGATGCTTTAATCACCGCCGATCGATGTATTAGGAGCCAAGAAAGGGCCCCTTTGGAGACGTTTCAATCGTGGGCGCGCGCCCGGATCCCGACCCCGCCCGGCTCTCCGCACCGGGACGGGTTCCCGGGCCGACTGTGATCCCCCCCACCCCCCCGCTCCCCGGCCTCCTGCCCGGGCCGTCTCCCTTCCCGGCCGAGCTGTTCGCCGCCAGCTGCTGCCTTATTTTTAGCTGCACCCCTGCGCGCGGTTATATTTAACTCGGTCCGCTCCTGCGAGGAGGTCGCGCGGACACCGAATTCCCCGAATCCTGCCCGGGCCAGGTCCTCGGCGGCGGCGGCCTGGAAAATCCGTGCGCGGGAATCCAGGCCATCCCGGAGCTGCTTTGGACTAGGGGACCCGGGCCAGGCAGCAGCGGGCACCTCGGGTCCGCCCTGGTGGGAGGAGAGGCGCTTTCCTGCTCGCGCGAGGCCTGGGGCGCCTGGGCCACCTGGAGCGCCTCTTACAAGCCTGTTTATGATGTCAAGTCTGCAAAAGACGGTTTCAACCTGCAAAACGTTTATGATTTTCAGCTGGGCATAGTAATCCGAGCCGTCTGGGAGGCTGAGGCAGGAGGAGCCCAGGTTCAAGCCCAGCCTGACAATTGAGTGACTCTGGGAGACCCTGTTTCAAAATAAATAAAAAAGGGTTCAAGGAGGTAACTCAGCTTAATCTTCAATACCACAAGGGAGGAAGGTGTTGATTTTGTTTGTTGTCATGCCGGAATTCCTTCTCCCTCCTTCCCCTACACACCTGACAGGAGCACAAAAAATCCCCAATAATCCCTTGGCTTCTTGATTCCAGCCCAGTCTTCACCGGACAAAACCTCAAAAAGGCTGGGAGAGGTAGGGCACAGAAACATGTTGGATACGCCGCATCCACAAAGGCCAGAGCGGGTCCAAACGCCACGCACAAGCCATATAATAAAGGCTCACCCCACACGGGCCATGGCCAGGGGCGGTGAATCCCGGCTTGAAAATCTGAGTTCTTCTTACATTTTAAAAGAAATGACTTTTTTCCCTGGTCCCAAAATGAGTATTTCTGGCAGCCTCTTTTTTTGTATGTCTCCCTGCAATACAGAAATTTTTCCACAGCTGAATTCAGGGGGAGAGGAGCTATATATATTGAGGCAGTCTCACTGTGTAGCCCAGGGTGTTCTTGAACTCAAAACGATCCTCCTGCCTCAGCCTCCTTCGTGCTAGGATCACAGGTGTGCGCTACCATGCCCAGCAAGGATCCTTGGCTTTAGGGAGCAACAGGAGTGTGGGTGGAAACTGAAGGCCAGCTGGGTCGGAAGAGGTGGGAAGTGAGACTGGGAGAAACTGTCTGGACTCAGGGCGACCCCTTAGACCTGAGAGCCTGTGGCCCACGGTCGGGGAGGGACGGCAAGGTCCCCTGGAAGTGAGGGGCAGGGAGGCAGCTGCCCAGGCCAGGACCCAGTATCTCCCAGACTTGCCCTACTCCCTGAAGGCCGGCACCAGCATAAGGGAACGGAAGCAGGGGGGATCTTTGCCTTGCTGACTTTCGTGGTTTGTTTTGTTTTGCTCGGTATTGGGACTCAAACCCAGAGCTACAGCTGGTTCACACTGAGCTAGAGCTGCATCCTCACCCCCCAACTACCCCCTCCTCTCTCTCTTTTCTTTTTTTCTGAGACAGGCTCTTGCTATGTAGCCCAGGCTGGTCTCAAACTCACAGTGATACTCCTGCCTCAGCCTCCCAAGCGCTAGGATTACAGGCGTGCACCAGCACACTTCTGTTCCCAGCCCTTAAAATTTTTTTTTAATCTTGAGACAAAGTCTCACTAAATTGCTTAGCTGTTCAGGCAGGACTCTAAGAGGTGTGTAAGAAGGTTCCCAAAGGGAATAGCCCTTTTGCTATCTCGAGTGATGTGTAGCAGTTAGGTAGATCACTACCTTTTGATCCTCCTGCTTCAGCCTCCCAGAATGCTGGGATTACAGGTGTGTTTCTCGTGCCCAGCCCACAGAGTCCTGTTCTGTTTGCCATTGTGTCTCTTGGCCACCAGTCAAGCACCTGCAGGTCACAGGTGAGACCCGTGTGACCCAGCTACACTCTGACGGGTCCGGGTCCCAGGGTCCTGGCGTTAGATGGTCACAGGAGACAGCTGACCCCAACCGTGTGGGAAGCTACAGGGCCCAGTGTGGAAAAGAACCAGGGAAGTGTTTTCAATCTCTGATTGGCATGGTCAGAAAAATGAGCCGGACGTGGAAGCGCACACCTGTCATCCCAGCTCTTGCGAGGCCGAGGCAGGAGGGCCGTGGTGAACTGGGCTACATAGTGCGACCCTGTCTCAAAGAACCTGAATAAATAAATAAGTGAAAGTTTGGAAGGCTCCTTCAGGGCGGGAGGAGAAACTGAGGCAGCCAAGCTTAGCCACAGTAAAGGGGCCGCTCAGTGTCCCCGGACAAGAGTACCGGTCCCGAGGAGACTCGGTGTCATTAACCTGGCAAAGCGGAGGGCTGGGCAGCAGTCTCCAGTCCCTTGTTCTGGCCTCTGAGCCCAGCCCCTCCCTGAGCAGAAGCCTCTGATGTCGCCTCACTGTTTGCAAAAGAAAATCCAAGCTCCGTTTCTCTTTTTCTTTTCAGTACTGGGGATCGAACCCAGGGTCTTTGTACTGAGCAACACCCTCGGTCCTTTTTAAATTTGAAAACAGTGCCTCGCTAAGTCACTGGGTTGCTCAGGCTGGGCTCAAAAGTGGGTCCTCCTGCCTCAGCCTCCCGGACGGCTGGGATTACAGACAGGCACCGCTGTGCCCAGGTACAAATCCACATTATTTAGACATTTCAGATGCGCTGTGATTGACCCCCAGCTTACTTCCTGCCCTGTCTGTCTGTCTGTGCTGGGGATGAACCCCCGTCAGCCCAGGGCCTGGCCGCGACTCCTGACCCAGCCACGAGCAGGCCCTCGCTGTCCCGGCCCTGATCTCTCCGAGGGGCCCGGCGCCTCCCCTTGGGCACTCACAACACTAAGGACGGAGAAACTCTTCCACCCGGCCCTGGCACAGACACGTTTTTTTTCACTCAAAAAATAATTTTTAAAGAATGGAGCGTGTCTTTGCAGTGCCTTTCCCTGTTTCTGATTGAAAAGCCGAGCAGCAGCTTCATTTCACCATAAAGTGAGGGAGGTGGGAGCCAGAAGCCCTTGAAGGCAGACATGGAGAAGCTTCGATTATTAGGATTTTACCCCAAAGGTGACTGTAGAATTCTGAACAGGGAAGGGGTGTGACCGGGAGTCCCAGAGGGGAGGGCGTGGGCTACGAAGAATGATACCCTGGCCCGAGCCCAGGCCTTCTTTAGACTCTATCTTTTCTCCTCTTATCTCTCTAACTACTTAAGTATTTATTTCAGGCAGGGTCTCACTTTGTAGCTCAGGTGCTCTTCACTTGCTAGGTAGCCCAGACTGGCCTCGAACTCGCAGTGATTCTCCTGCCTCAGCCTCCTGAGTGTTGGGGTGACAGGCGTGGGCCACCACGCCCAGGCTGGACCCACTTTTAAATTTCTTC